AGAGAGAGAGAGAGAGAGAGAGAGAGAGAAGATTGTAAATGATAATATAAATTCAAATGATTATACATTTTTAATTCTTATTTTTTCTTAATTTTTAATTATATTATATTAATAACGTGTTTCAAAGACTTTATTAATACCCGTTTATGAAAACCTAAAAACTTGAATTTTAATAAATTATAAACTACATTTACTATTTAACGTAATGACATTACCAACAATTAAAATTAAAATAAACATATAAGTAATTCATTATGCTAAATATATTTGAGATATTAATACGCAATGATTTACAGATTACAATTTTGTTTTATAATGTGTTATAATACTAAACTGAAATATACAGTTGATATGGAATAATGACTTAAATTTAAAATTGTTTCATACTTTCATTATTATTATCATATTTAATAAACATATTGTTTATTGTTAATTAAATACATAATATTTAATTTGACCATTATTTATTCTCAAAATAGGATTAAATTAATAAAACTAGGGTTTCAATCAAATGATAAATAAAATAAAGAACATGATATATTAAACACAATGTTGAGATTAAGTGCAACAAAACTATAAATGTAATTAATTTTTATAATTTGATAATTTAATTTTATCATGCTATTATCTTTAAACATTTAGTTAACTTTAACTTTACTCAAGTTTACAAAAATAACATTTAATTAAAACCTAAACTAGTTCATTAAGTACTAGAAATTATAAATGTAATTAGTCTTTAAATACAAAACTGTTGTGAACCACATTAAATGTTCCCAACACATTTCTAATTGATAGCAACTTAATATTGTGCACAAATTTCCCAAAATGTTAGCTACTTTTTATATTTATAATGTATTAAATACTGTTATTAAATATATTATATATTTTTAAGTATCATGTTAAAATTGTTAGCAATAGTGTTGCTATTAATTGGTCTCTCTATGGGAGCAAACATTTATCGCCGATCTTTTGATAGCTTTGTTGATGAAAAATCAGGTTTGTATAAAATAAATGTATATAGTGTAAATAAATTAATACATCGGGCTACTATTTTGATAAAACTCGCTGTAATCCAGTGTTATTTCAAATGTGTCTAGTAATTTTATAAACATCCAAATATAAAATACATTGTTTTTAATGCTAGGTGAAGCTGACAGAAAGGGTGGCCCACTGCCCACTATCGACTGTCCCATTACTGCTGCTCTCAAAGATATATATGATCATGACGTAAAATTTGATGCAAATTTAATTAATGGTAACTACTCTACATTATTACAATAATAAAAATATTTAATTAGATTATTTTATTACAAGTTATGAAGGATTTTATCAGAAAGTCTGACGATTTAATTAACGGATGGATTAATGTTGACAACAGAGACAGTGTTAGCCTAACGGGTGCTGTTGTCGATGCGAGGGGTGATAATAATGGTATACCTATAACCTCTGGACTACAGACATCAAATATTGAGCAAGAACAAATTAAATAATACACAATTTTGTAGATGACCCAATCGCACGGATTTAATATAATTTGTTATTGTTATTATATTTGACAGCAAATTAAGTATAACAAAATTATAAATGTAATCGCTAAAGTGTTTTTGCTAAAAACTAAAAAATAATATATTTTAAATAATGAAATTTTACATGAAGATATTAATCATAGTTAATCATAAAAACTTAATTAAAAATTATAAATATAATATGTTTACATTTAAAAATATAACTTTAACTTCTTATACTAGGTATTAATAAAATAAAATATTAGGTAAATATAAGATTTATATTTGTATATAATTTAAACATGATAAAATAGGCACCACCGAGATTTGAACTCGGGATCTCCTGTTTACTAGACAGGCGCTTTAACCAACTAAGCCATGGCGCCACCTTGTTAAGTTTGTCAATAGTTAATCAACTGATATAATAAAGTGTGGTTTATTTGAATATATTATAATTGTATTTAAACTGTTTTTTTTAATTTACTGGCGACAAAAATTGTGTGTAAATGTAACAGTGAAAGTACGTGAATACACTCTGAAAATTGTTAAAGGGTATTTAACAAATTCTGCATGCACACTTTCCCTATACCTTGTGTAATATAATTTGGTAATTTTGTGATAGATTGAAATTTAATAGAATCAATTTATAAACATATCCTACAAACCACATTATTCATGTCTTAATTGGGTTAAATATAATTAAAAATGTTGGGTTAAGTAAACATTATCAATTGACAATCTACTTTCTAATATTCAGCTAGTTAAAATTAATTACATGTACCTTAAATAATTTTATGTACGCTATTTATCATAATATATTTTTATTACAAAATCCATTGTGCTATTAGCATCAGGTTAACAAAATATTATTGTTGTAAAACTTTTAATTAATAGGCATAATATATCTGTTATGTATCTATTATTAATGATATTATACAATAATAATAAAAAATGTTTAAATCCATTGTGCTATTAGCATCAGGTTAACAAAATATTATTGTTGTAAAACTTTTAATTAATAGGCATAATATATCTGTTATGTATCTATTATTAATGATATTATACAATAATAATAAAAAATGTTTATAATTAAACATGCAAAACTTTAATGTAAGAACAACATATATTTTAATTTTTAAAAATATTTTTAATTTTATTTATACAGATTATTATAAGTTTGTTATTTATTTTACATCAATTTATTACATTATAAATATTATATAATTACATGCCGGTGTACACTAAATATATAAGTAAATTAATTCTAATAATATAAATTATTAAGTGCTATTTATGCATTATAATCATAATTATTAAAATTGATTATTAAATATTTTATAATTTTAATAATTATCAATAAATAAATATATTATTGCATTTAAATATTATTTTAAAACAGTTATTTAATTTGATAAAATTCTACATAATATACCATATCTGCATAAAACATATTTTGATTTACAAACACATGCTTCATTAATTACAATACTCTAGGTATTTTATGAATTAATTTTATAAATAATGATATAAATTTAATAATCACATTGTTTTCTATTATTATATATTTTGAAGGTTAATGATATTAATTAAGTTACCGGATCATCAAATGCGTAAGCGCTGTCATGAGCACATTAATTAATTATTTGATCGCAAATATGGTACTAATTTATCTTGGTATATTATATTATTATTATATTATTGAATTAAAAAATTACAATTTGAAAAAACCATAATGATTATTACAATAGTCAAATAATATTATGTAATACAATTAATAGTTATTTAACATAAAGAGTTGTATCACTGGATTAAATATCAATTTAGCTTAACGTTAATCATTTGTATTTATTTATGTAAAACCTGAATGAATATAAGTTAGATATGTTTCTAAAATAGTTTTAAGAATTTTGAAGTAATAACATCTATATGAATTAAATATAAACTATGTTATTTACTACTATGTCGCAATTTAAAATGATCAAATTGAATAATATTTAACAAAAGAAAATTTATATTTAGCATGTTTAAATTGATAAAATAAATAACAGTTGCAGTAACAATAATTGATTAAATTTTAAAATTAATTGCCAGTAATATAAGTTATAATACAAAATATAAACAATAAAAGATTTTTAAAAACAGGTGCAATGTCGGGTTTAAAATTGTAATACATTATAAGATGTACCATGTAAAATAATTTATACTTACATAATTAATTGTGCAAAAAATAAATTTTAGCAAGGTATATAAGGAGTCGTATTTTCAGCACAATATCAGTCGACAAATAGTTTGAATTAAAATATCAAATATAATTCAACAAAAAATTATGTCTAAATTATTAGTAGTGTTAGGATTGGTTGGTCTCGCGATGGGGGCCAACATTGAGCGCAGAAATATATTCGGAGGTCTGAGCAACTTAGGTTTGTACAATATTAATAACCAATATTTGTAATTGTAAAACATGGTAAATAAAATTATATTAAATGATTAAAACATAGGATTCGGTGGCATCGGATCGGGTGTAGGCAAAATCGTTGGCGCTGTTGGCGATCTTGGTACTAATGAAGTCACTTGGGGCACAAAATTAACCGGAGGTTAGACTGTTAATTTGCAAATATACCAAACAATAATTTACAATTACTAAATTACCTTGTTAACTTCAGGATCATTGGGAGCCGCAACTGGCTTTTTGGGCAAAGCTGGTGGTGCTGTTAGCAACATGGCTGGTGGTTTGGGTGGTGCACTCAAAGGTGGTGCCGGTCTGGCCGGTAATGCTGCCGCTGGTGTGGCCAGTAATCTCGGTAACGCACTCGATGCCGATTTCAAATGGAAGGGCGATTTAGTTAATGGTAAGTTTGCTAAACATAATGAAAAATATACAGCACATTAGAGATTGTCAACACCAAGCATAAGTTGCTCATATGTGTCGCTCACCTAGTTAATGTTTATCCCTTAAAATTAAGTTTATTTTAGTATATAAGTCAATACGAATCCATTAAAATTATATCAAATTAAAGTTGTTTAAACTAGTAGTTTGTGCATTATTATTATATTTCAACAAACATTTTAATGTATAATTTATCATTACGTCATTACCAATGTGATTTTCCATTTTAACAATAGCTGGTGTGGGCGCTGTGGGCAAAGTGTTGGCATCAAAGGGCAATTTCATTAACAACATCGGCAGCGCAGTGAAAACCGGATTGAGTGGTGATATTGTGGGCGCCGGGAAAGGCATGTTGAATGCGGCCACTACTTTGGCCGGCGATGATGTTGGTATAGTCACCGGTGCCGTTAGTGGTTAGTTATTATTTTTGTCAATGCGCTTATTATAATGCATTTACCTCGTAATTAGCACATAACCACTTTTATGGTCATGTGCTAATACCTATAATAGTATGATATATGCTAATTAAACTATTTAATTTTATTAATTTATATCAATCTAGACGTCACGGGAGCTACCAGTAAATTGGCCACTGGTTTAGGCGGTGCTGTCAGTGGTATCGCTGGCAACGTGGGTGGTTTGGCTAGTGGTGGCGCCAACCTTGTTGGTAATACTGTGGGCTCAATGGCCGGCGCTGGCGGTGATTTACTCGGAGGTGGTATTCAAATGGGACAGGACTTGGTCGGAAGTAAGTTGAGCATAATTAACATAAATAATACAAAACAGTATACCATATAAATTGCTAAACATGGTAATTGTTTTCAGACGCTGTGGGCTCCACAGTAGACGTATTGAAAGGCAAAGTCGCGGCCATCGGTAAGATGGGCTCCGGTGTCGGCGATATCGTCGGCGGTGCTGTCGGTGGCGCCAGCGGACTGGCCGGCAGTATAGGCGGTAAAATCGGCGGTGTTGTTGACGGAGTGAGCTGCGCGGTTACCCCCGTTATTGACGGTGGTATTAAAACCGGTGTGGGAGCAATTGGAAACCTTGGTGGTATCGTAAGCAGTATGCCCGGACAAGTGACCGGTGCCATTGGTGGAATTACTGGTAATATTCACCACGTTGTTGACGGAATGACCGGCGCGGTTACCCCCGTTGTTACCGGCGCTATTGATACCGGTGTCGGAGCGATCAAACAGGTTGGTAATATCGTAGGCAATATGCCCGGCAAACTGACTGGCACCCTTGACGGACTCACTGGTAATATTCAACACGTTGTTGGCGGTGGTCTCCAGACAGGCATCGGCGCCGCTACCGGTCTGTTCGGTGATATCGGCAACACTGTTGGCGGTGCGATCAACACCGTTGCTCAACAGGTTAATGGAATGCCCGGCAAAGTGAGCGGTGTCATTAGCGACATGACTGGTAGTATTGCCCCCGTTGTTGGTGGTGTCATCAATACTGGCACTGGACTTGCTGGATCCGCTACCCAACTTCCCGGAAAACTCACAAATACCTTCGGCGGAATCGCCGGCGGTGTTGGCCCCGTTATTACCGGTGCGATCGGACCGGTCACCGATGCCATTCATGGTGGTATCAACACTGGTATAAGCCTTGGTAATGGAGGTATTGGAGCGATTGACGGAGTGTTCGGACAACTCGGTGGTGCCGTTAACGGTATGACCCAGGGTATTTCTGGCTCTCTTGGCGATGCTGTCAGCACCGGTTCCGGATTGCTAAGCGGAGTGGGAGGACAAATCAGTAATACCATGGGTGGTTTAAATGGCGGTCTTAACTATGGTTTCGATACTGGTTTAAACCTTGGTAATGAAGTGATGGGACAACTCGGTAATACCGTTAGCGGTGTGACTCACGGTATTTCTGACACTTTTGGCGGTGCTATCAACACCGGTGCCGGATTGGTAGGCGGAATGGGAGGACAACTCGGTACTACCTTTGATGGTTTAAATGGCGCTCTTCACGGTGGTATCAACACTGGTATGGGCGTCGTTAACGGCGTGACCAGTAATCTCGGTAACGTTGTTGGCGGTGTTATGGGACAGGCAAACAATGTCGTTGACGGTGCTGTTCAAATCGGAAGCGATGGTCTCACACATGTTAGCGATCTTACCAGCGGTCTTACCGGCGGTCTAACCGGTGGTCTAAGCACTGGTTTCAACACTGTTGGCAACGCTATCGGCGGACTGACCGGTGGATTGTCAGGATTGGGTTCAATTGGCAGTAGTATCGGCGGCTCAGTAGGCGGTGACTCCGGTAGTATTGGTTTTGGCGGTAGTACTGGCGGATCAGTAGGCGGTGGCTCCGGTAGTTTTGGCTTCGGCGGTAGTTATGGCGGCTCATTAGGCGGCGGCTCCAATAGTATTGGTTTTGGCGGTGATTCCGGTAGTGTTGACGTCAGTGCTGGCGGTGATGGAGCTGACGGTCAAATGAGCATCGGTACCGGTGAAAACGGACTTTACTGGTAAATTGTCCCGGTTATTAAACATGCTGTTCTATTGTATGTCAATAGTACATGATTTTGTTTAAATTGCATTACAAAAAATATTTACATTATTTAGCACAAATAAAGTTTATTAAATACTATATTTCCCTACCTTGATATAATTAAACAATTTATAAATAATTACGTAAAAATCTAAAATATATATTGTGCATTATAAATAAATTTACTATCATTAAAATAATAAAGTTTCAAATTATTATCTCTAAAGTATATACATAGAAAGGTAAGAAATAATATATTTATTTTTACAGATTTGATCTAGCACATTTCTGTTGGAAGGTATTCAAAATATAAATCTTTATCTGCAAGGCTAAAAACTTAATTAAATTTAATATAAGGCCATTACAAATCTTTTGCGCGACTTCTTTTGATCACCATTTGGGAACAGCTGAAGTGACAATACTGTCACTTCACAAATATATAGATCCATGGCCGGAAATATTTTGCACATAAAAATATTTGTGGTCACGTGACTATATTATTGTGAAAATGGACCATTTGCGAGACCCATGGTGTACACCTACGGTGTTTACGAGAGGGAGGGGTGGGGGTTAGATTCGAAATGTTAATTATGTTAATAATAAATTTAATTTT